CGCATGCTGAAGGTTTTTAATGTCTTGTCATGTAATTTCTGCGATCAATAAAAGGACATGATGGTATTAAGTCTGCGCACATCTCGAAACACATTACAAAGTTTTAAGCGTCACTGGATGCGTCTATATATTTAGTTGTTAGCGTGTCATTCTCGTGTGCTTTATCACAAGTTAGAAATTGTGTCACTCGCATTGAGTGCCACCACTGGTATGAATGTAGAATGTGGCTAAAGAGGGGATTGCGCTTGTAACACAAAAATGTGGACGAGTGCTCATGTGCGCGTGTGCGCTCGCAAAGGGATGAAAAAGCCGATGGGGCGAAAATTAGGAGAACGCATGAAAGCCAGATAGAAGCGGCAGACAAATGATGTCATAAAACTGTTCCAACGAGAAATAATTGCTTCTTTTACACACTATTAACGTCATTCGATATTAGTGCACGCGCGGAGAGGAAAATAGGCCAGTCTGTTAACACCAACCCTTAAATATAATATTATTACCATTACTATACTCAAATTTACAGAAATATTAAAAATATTATTAAAAAATAGATTAATTATTATTACTTCTAAATTCATTTTTATAGGGTAGTAATATGACAAATGGTTGACATTACTTAGAGGCTGTCTCCATTAAAAATCATACCCGATTAGAAGAGGAAATAGAAGTGGGCTCGACAAAACTTTTTCTACCACATCCGATTTCTCACTTTCACCCTCCAATCCGCATTTGGTCTTAGCGGTGTCGTTTGATGGAGTTCCTTAGAGGGTGCGTTAAAAGCAAAATAGACATTGGGCTAGGTCGTAACCGCCGCTGCTGCCACCGCCTCCGTCCAAACTGGTATGATTAACGATAAGCGCGGCCCGCGTCAACCGCACACTCCGCATTATATACGCACTCGTACACCAACAACCATATAAAATAAAACTTCCAGCGACCAACCCTTAACGCCACGTTTTCTTCTTGCGTCGTTCTTTGTTCTATCCAGAGCAAAAAAACCGAGTAAAAAATAAAGCGAATTTGTTGTGTACCGCGCACTTCAGTAGGGATCGTTGTGGCGGCGGAGGCGAGGGTGTTAAAGGGTGGTAAAGAGTCGCAGCAAGTTTAATATTAATTTTAATAAACGTCACGGTTTTACTTCTACTTAGGCTTTATTGTATTTCATAATTTTATCCTCGTAATGTGTTAGAACCCTGTGCAGGGTTGTTTAAAGGACTTGAGCTACGAGTGGGAGTGCATACATTTTAAAATAGCAGGCGACATACAAAATGGATGCCCTTTTTACCTCATTTCAACACGTTTATTTGAAGTTGTTGTTAAAGAACCGCTTTCAATTAAATTTTTCTTTCGTAAAATTTTATGTTTGCTCATAATTTAAATAAAATTATTTGAAATATTTAAATAAAAATAAAATTTTTGTTGCTTTTACTTGGTGTTTTGTTATCTTATCTTGCTAGTAAAACTCTTTACTTGCCATTACTTTAAGGCTTTTCTTTATGCTTAACAATGACACAACTGTCCCGGCCATAAAAGTGGAAAATTTTCATGTTTACGCCGTTCTAATTGAATTTTAACGATTTTTATTACCGCAAGTTACGTTTGGCAAACGTCCTTCGCCTGGACTATCATTAGGGGATGCGACCCAACGATGCGAGACGTGGTAAAATAATGATATGGGCGCATTAAAAATACATCGTCTGTCTCCGTTTTTCTTGAACATAAACCGCTAAACAACACTCAATTATTTACACCACAAACCAACCCATTGCTAGTTGATGGCACGATTTAATGACTAATCATTAAATATTTTATTAAGAAAATAGAAAATTTCAATTTCAGTTTCTGTCGCTTAATAATTAAATGCCATTGGGAATGTGGCTATTGAATGACTTCATATTTCCAATGTGTGTTGTTGTAATAATGAGAAATCCAAAAATAGTTTATGGTTACTTAGAAAACGCACGAAGCGCGAACGCAGACGCTTGCACTGAGTAACAAAGCGCTTATTAGTTTGGTTTATTTTCTATAAATACCAGGACGTTTATATTTAAACAGCAAAAATCGATCCACTTATAGTTTTAGAACTCGGAGAGTTTAAAATATAATTTAATAATAACTTAGAAATAATATTAACGTAAATTGCATTTTAAATATGGTCTAATGTTTAATTTTACTATTATTTTTATCAACATATCTTCAAATTATATTAATTTTCGCTTTTTCTTGATCCAAGTTAGTTTTCCAAAATAAGCCTTTCAGCATTCACTTCAGGTTATTGTTATCTGTTACCGCGTTAGCTGCTACATCGAATTAACGAAATTGCCGTTCGTGACTGCATTACGCGCCGGGCCTCTTCGCGCTCCGCCGGGACAAAGCGCCAATTCGGTTTTTACCTGTTCACGCTCAGGTTCACGCTCCCATTCCGTTTCAGCAGGTGCGCCACGAAACCTGCTTTTCGTTCGCAACACTGCTGTATTCGCCGCCGCACGGTGAATATGTAAATTTATGTACAGTTGTTCGACAATACTATACTACAAACCCTCCAATTGCACAAAATAAAATACAAATACAAAAGTAGAAAAAAAAGTAGACCGGGAATATTATCAGCTTGATTTTTGATTCAAATTTTTCAACGTGAATATTCATAAATGTTGACGTTGCTAGTTTTAAGCGTATGCAACTGTTCGGGTGTAGTTTTCATTGGTGGCTGGTGGTTGTGTTGCGTGCAAACCGAGGCTAATAGCAAACAGATAGGTTTTTATCGCTTAGCCCACTCTTCAACCGCTCGCGTTTGCCACACCGCTTCGTAAAGTTCTTCACGAAGTTGGAGTTCTAGTTCTAGTCCTAGTCCTACTTCTGGCTTATCCATACAAACCTGCCCTGACTCGACTCCACTCGGTTTGAACGCGGTGCTCTTATCGCATCTTTTAGTTACAATGCTGCAGTCCGTGGGCGGCGGCGCGGTGTTTGCCGCCGCTGAAATGGAACAATGCAGTCACGAAACACTCGAATAAAATATAATACAAAAGCCTACTGTGCGAGGCATAATGCCACTCGAAAGCTGCGCGAGCGATGCATTCAGGCGACGGATGGCGGATGGACTCGGACCGGGGGTGGAAAAACGCGCTCGAGTACACAAAGTGGAAAAACAAATCGGCGCAAAAACACGCTGGCAATGAGGGAAAAACTAGCTATGAGTGCAACATGAAAGGCCAGCCAGGCGCTGAAAAATTAGAGGGAAATATTAAATGAAAGTGGACATACTTGAAACTTCATGTTGCCAGTACCAAATTTATCAAATTTATATTTTTAGCCACAAAATAAAATTTACCAAAATATTAGCTATCATATTATCTACTATTATCAATATAGTAGAAAATATAAAAATATTAATAACACAGAGTTGATTAGTTGGTAAAGCGCAAGGTTTGTGGGTATACCTTATCTTTACATTAATCTACATCTACACATTTGAATGATATTTACATTATATTACCTGGCCGGCTGGCCCATTTATTAAAACGTAACGATTAGTAAACACCTGATTGATGGATTGATTGATAACGACATAATAGCGTATTATGCGCCGGCGGCGCCCCCGACAATGAAAGAGCTCACGCCAGCCATCCAACGCTCACGCGAAACGTTGAAAACCGCTTTTCACGCACACCAACCCATGGATATATCTATAAACCTGGATGCCGGGAACGCAGGATAATACAACCTGTACAAAATCAATCTAGCTATATCTACACCTACACACATGCGTGTTTACCCTAGAATACATCTGAGCAATTGATGACGTAACCTGTGTTGGTTTTTCCATGAAAATGTTTGTGCGGCGTCGACAAAGGAAATCGTGTATGCGGTCTCAGGACAAAAAATCATTCCACAATAAGATGGCCTTCCTTTGTGCGCGCATGATAAATGGCCGTATCAATTTAAAATATTCCGAATTTATTTCGCTCCTCTGGATCCCACGCTAAACACTTTCGGAGACGAATTGGAAGGCATAAAAATAAAAAATTGAGAAGGTAAACACCACACATTGGGTGTAGAACCCAGAATCCAGAATGCAAAATGCAAGGACTATTTTTAGTACTGAATTTCCCAGTCTTTTTTTGCAACTTAATTTTTTGGCTGTTCTGGTTTTTAGTAGATAATGATTGCAATAAACTTCACTCTCTGGACATTGTATTTGAGGTGAAGTCGACTTTTGTATTGTTCCACTTCAAGTTTAGGAGTAATAAATTCAATCCACGAAACGTCGTGAAACTTGCTCCCAGCAGTTTTTCATTATCGTTCAGGTCCCTGGAATTGGTATCTGCTTGTATTTTCTGAGGACCTGGCTGGTGGGACATTTGGTCGTATATTGGGCTCATATCCGGATATTTTACTGCCGGGATCAATCATTCATAGACGTCGAGAGTCTGGGATGACGTATGGCGTCTTTTGAATGTTCATCTATACAACGTTTTACAGAATGAAAAACACAATTTTAAATAGGTGTTAAATAGATTTAATTGTCTTAATTCAGACATTGTAATATCATGTTGATGTTGATGTAGAAGATGATTCTATGCATAAACTTAGCATCTGTTTCTCATTAAAATTGTACACCAGCCCCGATTTGTGCTTAGACAAGTCTCTCTAGAGGCATTAATTAGAAGCACATATTAGTTTGATGCATTAGAGCATTATGTAGCACCGTTCCGCAAATTACAAACCCATCCAAACGCGCTTCACAGAAACAACACTCGGGCGCAAAGCAGCGCAGAGCATCAATTGAAACGGGCTGCTGGTTCCCGTTCTAATGCGCTCTCTACTGGGTACCATTGCGATGTTGTTTGCGAATGTAATTTCAATGCCGCGACGTACGCACCCACACACACCCCCATTTGCGCCAGTCACACGTCGCCCCATAGCTTCTGCCTTTAATGTTGTTTTCGGTGTTATTAGTGTGAACCACGTGTACTAGGGATTTGTTGTTGTGATTACAGGTTGCGCATTCCTAACGTACTTCAGTCCGGAGAGCGCCCTCAACGCCCAGAACGCTCTGCATGAGAAACACACATTGCCAGGGGTGAGTACCAACAAAACCAGCAAACCGCATTCTCCCCTGCTCACCTACCGGTGTGTTGGTGGACGAGTGAAGCACTCTTTTTGCGTCCCATTTTTTAATGGCGCCTGCCATTCGCTTCGTCCGATGGTTGCGCGCGGCTTCAATTAAAACTGGAGCAGGACTCGGAGTAATGCCAATACACGAGTAGTGCGAGCGCTATAGAAATGCACTACTCATCCTGCCACCATCGACCGGAGCTTTTTCTCGCCGCCCTTCCATCCGACCTTATCGCAAATACCGACCACGGGCCGACGACGGCGGAGCTGTTCAATATTTTAATTTGCTTGTTAAATCGAACGGGACTCGGGACGCGCGCTTCGCCGCTCCTCTCCAACGGGCGGCAACGGGATCGGGGGAGAGAGCGTTATTCAAAACGCGCCTCATATTCTATCGATCTCGGCGCGCTGCTCGACGCCCCTCCCGGCGTGTACTATTAGTACGTGCATACATCGTTCCTCTATATTTCAGTTCATATACTCGGCACGTGCTTTGCATTCCCAGTTTAACTACGAAACCAGTCAAGACGACCAACAAAACCGCCACAGCAAAGAAAATCCTGCCTTGAGAACGTAGACATTTTCTTGCTTTCGCACAAAGGACATAAAAATTCACGATTCTCAAACAACTTCAAACGACACCTTCAAATTGCTACTTGGAGCAGTTACTTAGACTATGGAACTTTTTTCGAAACACTCAGTTTGAATGTTTTTGACTGTCTGCAGAATGCTCGGGTGCAAAACAAGCAAGCGAAATAAACACGGCATCTAAATGCATAATCGTGTTGCTGATAATGGGGTGTTTGCATATTTGTGTTCTGTTTGAGCGACATTACAATGTCTTACGTTTTGCCACTTGCGCGTAAATTCCCGGCCATGCCGCGCATAATTTGACGGCGTTCTTCTTTAAGACGTCTGTTTACTTTGTAAATTTCTACAATTCCTAACAATTTCCACATTCAGCACGAGTAGCTTGACTCAATTATATTACTAGAAAACATTTCTTAATTTAGGGACGCAAGATATTTTAATTAAAATTAAATTGCCGGAACGGAATATTTTTTTCGATTAAAACCCGAATAATTTTGAGGTTTGAATAACACTGTCACGTTGCAGTTATTAGAAAATGGAGGTCGTGCTTGTTTGCATTTTAATTTGGTCGAAAGTTTTCTGCTTAACTTGCAACAAAATTAAGTTTATTCCGCTGGTATCCCTGAATGAATGTGCATTCGCGGCAGTTAACTAGCACCACGGTGGATTTTGGTGTCGGGATTTGCGTTCGTAAGCGGCGCGCTTACCGAAATTACCGTTGTTAATGCGTTCGGCGTCGGCCGGCGTTAAGTAAGATATAAACAATTTGATATTTATTATGTGTGTACACACTGCATCACCGATGCCTCGAGCGGGCCTCGCGTTTTCTCCGTGCAAACGGCGCACTGCCCGCCCGTGCAATAAAAAGTAATGAGCAACAATTTACATCGGCTCGTGGCGAGTCGCGGTAATAAGTTTAAACACTCACACTCGTGCAAATTGCCCTAGCCGCTCATACACCAGCTACCGTTGTAACTCATCGAATGAATAAGTTATGTATTGATTTTCGCCCGCACGCCCGACTGATGGAAATATGCGCTTTCAACATTGCAACATCGTGTGGAATTTACGATCAAAGATTTACAGACGATGAAAAATGTGCTCGCTGAGGTGGAGGAAAAATAAAATAAAAATTCTAATGACTAATAGGGAAAAACAATTACGTATTACTTCAGGCACGGTGAGCGCAATGCACGATGTGGTTGATGGTCTGATGAAAAATGAAAGAAATGAAAAACGTGTTTGCTTGGCCGTCTGGTTCGTCGGGTCATAATTTATCGTCGGAATTTCGTGCACGACCTTTAACGTATGCATGCCGTTATTGTCGTCGGCGGCAACCCTTTAACTTAAGCGCCGCTTCGTCTGGGGGCGCAAAACAAAACAATGTTATTTAAGGAGCGAGAAAAGTACGACGGCTAAAAAATTGCGCTAGACATCGTTCATCGTTCATATTCACACAAGCAGCAGTATTGGATTTAAAAAGGCTTAAATTTTTTAAAAACTATATCCACGTAATTTTTTAAAATAATAATACGCAAATATTTAAGTTTGATCGAATGAAGTTAATTTTTAAAGTTAAATTTGATTTTGGTGGAAATTTTCGTGATACCGTGCTGTTCGGTTCAATATAAGGTCAATGCACAATCGATTTGCGTATACCTATTCGCTTGCCATCCCGTGGAGGCCGCCATCAAGATAATATGTAAATGCAAATGCTGTTTACTTAACAAAAACGACTTCACGGCGACTCCTAGACGAAGGCGAAGTCGGCGCCTCGCATACTATGCGAAGGCGATGGAAAAAACGTCGTTTTTCTTTATTTTTCTTTGACTTTCGGTTAACTTTGGGGCGACATTGTGCGCTCCTCTCTCGCGGGACCCGCGCGGAACGAACTATAAAAGACATTTCGCGCTATTAAAACGACAATAAAAGGTTGTTAACTAAGGGAGAAACGGCGTGTGATTTATGAAGTAGCGACATTATTTACGGCCACGCGCTCAACATTTCTGGAAAATGGAAATTCAATTACGCAACGCCTCCAAGCAATCAGCGAAGCAGAAAACTCGCAATTTGATTCGGTTTGGTTTAGTTTGTAAATTTATAGATTGAATTGTGGCAATTTGATGCGGAACAGACAAACGGACAAAAAATTGGATGCTACACAAACAAAAAATACAACAATCCACTGGGGCCGAATTTCACAAAACTGTACAAACATGAAAAATTCAGTTTAAAAAAGTTTTCACGAGGGACTAAACATTCCATCAGTTTTTAACCTCAAAAAATCTCAAAGTATGTTTACTGAGGTTAACAAGTGATTTCAAGAATAAATATATCACAAAAAGATAATCGCAAGACAAGGGAGATTTTCAGTCGCTGATTTTATTTTTACGTTGTGCTAGTCGCTATGGACAGGGTGTTTGCTATTTGCCGCGAGTGTTCTTACATCGTTGATCGTGTCGATTTCTGATTCATTATTCGCTTGGCGTGCGCACATTGCACGCGCCTGTCGATTCTAAATTTAAGACGCCGGCGCACGCGTTCGGTGCTGGACGGCAAGTCTGTTTAACTTCGGGGGTCCCGCGATAGCGTAAACAAACGCCACACATCTCGGCCTCGCGAGTGTGTTGTGTTCGCGCCCGCATTCGGTATTCGACGGGCGCCAATAAACGACTCTCCTAGTCCTAGACGCGTACGCGAAGCACTTTGTACGAAAAGTACGAAAACAATCCGAAACCAAGTCGCGTGTGAATCCTAAATCGAATCGTGCGTTAAAGTTAGATATAATAATCTAGTGAGTGCAAAAAACTTTGTGAACAATCACAAAAGCTGGTTGAAAACTCCTTCCACTATCCCAAAAATGGATTACGATGTGCTGGTCTATCCCGAGCTGTTGCCCGCTACCTACTATGACACATTGCTGGTTCGTAGATATTATATCTTCCATTGTGTTGTCTTTTGTTTAATTTTTTGTGCGTATTCAAAGGCAGTATGTCTCGGTTAGTCGGCTTATAGCTGGTTTCATCTGAGGGCTGGTTCCGGATTCTTTGGAGCAATTTTTCTCATGCCCTGCCTTGCCAACAGCTCCAATTCCCTCCCTAATCTTATTTATTACCGAAGAAGAGTTATTGTGACTGGGAAAATAACTTGCGCAACAGCCGAGAATAAATTCGCCGATAATATTGTGCTATCACGATAATTTCGTGTTGTTTTTTTCCTCACGCTCATATTTTCGGTGCCAAGATGCTACAAATCATGAATCTCATTCCTTTGTTTAGGCGTTATGGATATTGACTAGTCACTAGTTATATACAAATAAAATTTGGTCTGTCGAAAACTATCAACATGTACAAAACATGATTTTTTACCTAAACAGCAGCATGACTTGGAGTGTGAGGTGAAGCGTAAGTTAAAGCAACACGTGTTGACTATTAAAAATAGATCAAGTTGTAAAACGGATCGTTGCTGCGGTGCTAGAAGAAGCACGTTGCAAAGGAAGCATTCGTCGGCAAGCAAAAAATTGTAAACATTACGCGCACACAAATACGTCTAAAATTTTGTAAACAAACCAGTCAGCAAATGCTTATCATCCGGATGTTATCTTGAACAATATACACAAAATAAAATAATACCGGCGTAAGAAAGGCTGCGATCGGATATTTATTCATAACAAAGTGAATGTGGATTTGAAATTTCAAACATTGCTTGAGTGCTTACGATGAAATCCGTGATGTGTTTAAATGTCGGTTAATTCCCGCCGATTCAAGCATTTTTTTCGTCAATGGAAAGATCAAAGCTGGCCGGATTAAAGTAAATTGGCTAATTTATAGTTGGTGCACTCTGCGCGCGCGCTCCGTAACGATGAAAGCACTCTACCTGATATCAGCAAACAGCGGCCGCCGCCGACGCCGCCGCTGGCTCGTTATGCGTTGAATCTGTTACGCGTCCATCGGCATCTGTGCGTATTTATTATTTCATACGCAAGCGAATGCGTTGGTTTTTGGACTTGCGGCCCCGCTTTAATTTAAAATCGACGGCGGGTACCGCGCGCGCCCGGCAAAAATAGATTCGAGTTTATTGATTCAACGCGTTTATTATTTGATGGATAAAAGGAGGTGCCTTTTTCCAGCCGCACAGCCTCCCGAAATGTTGGAGTGGTTACAGATTTATCGGGTTTATAACGTTTATAACTCGCATCCGGCCAAAAATCCAATCCGAAACTAAAATATTGAAAATTTTTTCAAACATCCAAAAGTAGTTCATATTTTAAACACACTGTTCTAGAAAGTGTCTTGAAATATGGTGTAAGTTATTTGAAATTTTAAACCGAGCGGTAGATGTAATTGTGATTAGCACTCAGGAATTTATCGACTT